ACCTGTACTTTCTACTTCTTACATGTTGAACTCACATACCTGTACTTTCTACTTCTTACATGTTGAACCCAAATACCTGAACTTTCTACTTCTTACATGTTGAACCCAAATACCTGTACTTTCTAATTCTTACATGTTGAACACAAATACCTGTACTTTCTACTTCTTACATGTTGAACACAAATACCTGTACTTTCTACTTCTTACATGTTGAACTCAAATACCTGTACTTTCTACTTCTCTCATTTTCCAAACAGGCTGGTTCCTTTAGTTTGAATGTGTGTTTGGTGGCGTGATCATTATTATTTAGAGTCATTGCGTGCCTATTGATTTGAACACGATCCGTGTATCCATCATTTCCTGGTCTTCTCTAAAGAAGAGGGACCAATGAAAACGTTGTCATGTTGCCGTTGTTCAGCATGGAAACATTCATTAGCTAACAATGACATTATTGTTCTATTAATATAAAGGGAGGTCAGGTCCTCTTTAAAACAGCTGCTAGTTATGGGTACTTTTTACTGAAGTACATTTCAAAGCCTCTTTACTTTGACTTGAGTAAAGAAGTTTAGTCAGTACTTCTACTTTTACCAGAGTACTTTTAAACACGAGTATCTGTACTTCCACTTGAGTAAAGGATGTGTGTGCTATCTCCTTGTTAATCAATACGGGTTCCACTCTGACGGACAGCCATTGGTGTAACCGATGCTCTGCTATTCGGAGGAGGAGGAGGAGGAGGAGGAGGAGGAAGCACCTGTTTTCCTCCTGCTCTCACCTGCGCTTCACAGCTCGGCTGGCCCAGCGTGAGGCTTCTGGATCGGGCCCAAACTGTCTGTACATGAGCATGGGAATGTTGGAGGGGGGTCATTCCTACATGAGAAAAAAATCCTTCCACCTGTTGTGACAAAATGTTGGCTGGTAATGAAAGTAAAACGACATGATGAGTTGGTTGAGTTGAGAGGTTGGAAGTGACACAAGGCAAGATGTGTATGTAAAGATCAACCAAAGTTACAAATGTGTCACTGAGGAAATACTGCAGTAAAGTCTCTGTGTGCAAAATGATATCAATTTTGATCAGGACTACAGATAACGGAACGGGCTTCCTACTGATATAATCAGGACAGCAAAAAGTCTAAAAACCTGATTCACTTGCACCTTGGACATTAGATAACAATGCAATAGCACCTGCACTTAATGGTTTGTCAGCACTTTTCTAGTTGTTCTGAGCTTGAGTTGTTAAGGTTTATTGCACCTATTGTAAATATCTTTCGATAAAGGTGTCAGCTAAATGCAATGTAATGTACTCTACTACTACATCAACTCAAATCTACAACACCTCCTTTCTTTCCATTAAGAACCATTGGATCACAAAGTCAGTTGTAGATGTATCTTAAAATAGTGACATCTTACAAAGAAGTGAAATGCAGGTGTCATATTAAGCTGTTAAAATTAGACAACCCATTTATTTCCCCAAACTGCTTGCAGAGATTTAGAGAGAACAGTGTGAACAGGTTCCTTTGGTGCATTAAGGCTGGAGCCACACGAGGACGATAACGGAAACGGACCGCAATCGATATCAAAAAAGTCTTCCGTCCACACGCAACAGGCACCGGAAACGTGTCCTTCTACACGAGACCGCTGGAAGGTGCTGGAGACGCTGTAGTACATATGCCAGGCCTGTAAGTGGCGCTGTAGTCCTGCCACAAAAGCAGCGAAGAAGACTTCCCGCGCATGGTTGCCATGGTTGCCCTTCTGTTTATTCTCCGCTGTGGACGCTCTGGCTCTTTTTCTCCCTCCCCGAGGCAAGCGTGTGCTCCTGCTGCTCTCCGGTAGTCCACCAGCAGATGACAAACACCCTCCTCTCCGCCTCCTCCAAGGGACGAGGGGACCCTGCAGATTAGAAAAGTGCAAGTCAAAGGTCTTCTTTGTTATTTATTGAGACTGGCCTACATTAACAGGTCATTATTGTAGCCTGAAATAATTCAAATTATCTTAAAAGTAAAGAGAAATATCTTAGAGACAAATCATGTAGATGGGTTAACCTAGACGTTGAGATAAGTACATTTGAGAGAAGAAAGTATTGTACACACTGGAGTTGTGAGTGAAACGTTGAATAATTTGCTAATTTATCAATCAGTTCTCTCTCTGGAGCCAAAAAGGAGTGCCAGAAACCCCCAACGTATCCATTGGGTGATTCTGGTGTACTTCTCTGTGTATCGGCTTCAGCTTGAAGTACCTGGTTTTGTGAGGTTTTTCAAATTAATCTTCATAGTTTTCGAAAGGTTGATAATTTGGCCTTGAAGTTGACAGATCCCTGTTTTAATCTCAGACTGTCAAAGCACTTTTGAGCTCACTTTCCATAAGGGTGAACTGTAAGCTCGAAAATAACCTGGCGTGTACATAAAGGAGGAAAGAAATGAGAGGTGCCTTTGAGGATTTTTGTGAGGATTTCCTTGTATGTTTGATTGTAGAGACTTGGAGATTAATGTGTGAATTGTGGGGGCTTTTCAAATAAAACTAACCTGGCTTGACTTGAAAAGAAAACCCAACCACACGCGTTTGTGTTTGATGCGTGTTGGAAGATACAAATGGTATTGTTTTAAAATAGTTTGGTCTGACTTTTCAGCCAAATGACTCATATGTGCCCTACAGGAGAAGACATTGAATGCTAAGAAGTTACATGACAGTATCTTTAACTCAATTGAGAAACTCATTGGTGATTATCAGCTTTCCCAAGACCCTCAAAATCATAATTTCACACTTCACCCCACCCAGCTATAGGACCCCACACTGAGGCAAAACAAGCATCCTTGAGCAAATAGTGGAGGTCGGGGTTAATGAGTTCTGATAAATCCTGAGCATTGGAAACCTGTCTGACAACAGTCTCCATTTGAAGCTGATAAATCCAATAAGAAGTGTGAATGACTTTAATCAGTGCTACCACAATGCTGTATCTGCCCATGTTAGCTTATTTTCTTCAGGCTGAGCTCTCACACACACACACACACACACACACACACACACACACACACACACACACACACACACACACACACACACACGTCCTCGCTCTGTTTCTCTTGCATGCAGCAGACATGCAGACATATTTGCATACTGTCACACAAAAGCAATTTGACACGTTTCCTCTCATTCTTTCACACGTTTATTCAACTCTGAGGCCACATCCATTCACACACCCTGTCAGATTCAGGGGACACTGGAAGTCAATCACTTAGCTGAAGTATGAATGACGGACAATATCAGTCTGGAGCTCCCTTGTGGCTTTCGGAACAATTTGTTCATGAATAATAATCATAATAATTGATGCGTTTCACAAAACTTGGCAGAAAATTGGATCACCATGTCACAGCCAAAATATGTATCTTACAGAATTGAGTTGTATCCTCACCACAGTGGAAATGTGGCTCAAAATAGAACTGGTTGGAAAGAAACACACTTGGACTTTAATATTCTTTCTGCATATTTACTTCCATTGTGTTGGGAGCTTTGAATAATTTAGTCTCTGACCTAAATGCATTCCTGTTTTTAAATATGTTTTAAAAAATATACAAACCATCAGAACAACTAGAATTACAAAAGAGAGGACAGGTGAACTTTCAAATAACATATTTATTATATTTATTTACACAGAATAAAGTCCCGAGAGCACTTAAGAGTATGTTTTCATAGAAAAAATGTTTATTTCAAGTAAACTTAAGACACAAGCTGCAGTTTTCTGCAGTTCACCTTATGAAACATAATGTTGTTATCCAGACAGGAGGGATGTGTCCCTGCAGTGAGCATGCAGAGATTTAATATGTGATATATTGCTGTTGAATGATTAACAGCTGTGAGGACAGTTCTTGTCAAATTCATAATATAATCATATATAATATAATGTATTTCAATAATAATGTACATTTTCAAATGTTACTCTCTTACCTTAAAAAAGTTCGTTTTCAAGCAAATGCAGATTGTGGACAATGCCTCATTAAGTATGCTATAAGAAATATGAGCAGATATAAGAAGAGATGAGATACACATTGTTGGGTAAGGAAACATCTTATTCTTTCAGGCAAGCATTGTTTTTAAAGTGTCCTTAATGGTATAATTTGCATCATGAGTATTGAGCATTTAGCCACATCCTGTTTCCTTCCAGCCTAATAAGCAGTAACGTTTTGTTAGTTTACTCCCCACTGTCTGCATAATAATTAAATGTCTTCCTGATGTCTCTATAGTATTATAACTCCCCGACTTGTTTTTAAAGGGCAGTGTGTGTGTGTGTGTGTGTGTGTGTGTGTGTGTGTGTGTGTGTGTGTGTGTGTGTGTGTGTGTGTGTGTGTGTGTGTGTGTGTGTGTGTGTGTGTGTGTGTGTGTGTGTGTCTGAGGGGGGGGGGGTAAACAGAGACAAAGTGATTATAACCCTTCCTCCAGGGTGAACATTTTAAACAAACACCTTTAGGAACCCCTGATTGACTTGTTCTCTCTGTCCCCGCCCTGCTGGGGGAGTGTCCTCGCTGCTCCCGTATAAAAACCAACGCACCCACCAGCAGTGCAGCATGCAACCAGAGTCACTGTGTAACACCGACACAAAGGGAGAGAGAGCAGACTGACAGTGAGAGTGACACGCTTGTTTTGGATATTATACACCACCACACACTCTCTGCGCTCTAGCATGACTTCTGCAGCACCTCTGGATTAACTGCGCAAGTTCGCTGGCACTACGCGAAAATGGAGAGGAGCATCCCGGGATGGTGTGTGCTGTTTGCCCTCGTCCTGCGCGGCTGCATGGCGGCGAAGGAGCTCCAGTGCCAGGAGATCTCCGTGCCTCTTTGCAAAGGAATCGGCTACAACAACACCTACATGCCCAACCAGTTCAACCACGACACGCAGGACGAAGCCGGGCTGGAGGTGCACCAGTTTTGGCCGCTGGTGGAGATAAAGTGTTCCCCGGACCTGCGCTTCTTCCTCTGCAGCATGTACACACCGATCTGCCTGGAGGACTACAAGAAGCCTCTGCCGCCGTGTAGGAGCGTGTGTGAGCGGGCTAAAGCCGGCTGCGCTCCCCTCATGAGGCAGTACGGGTTCCCGTGGCCGGACCGGATGAGGTGCGACCTGCTACCCGAGCAAGGCAACCAGGACATGCTGTGCATGGACTACAACCGGAGCCAGACCACCACAGCTTCCCCTGTTGTGGCAAAACCCACTAACAGACCCGTGAAGCCGTACAACCCGAGGAAGAAGAGCAGCTACGGGCGCGGGATCCCCGGGAAACACAAACCAGCCGCGTCCCCGTGCGAGCCTGGGTGCTTCTGCCGCGCGCCCATGGTGACAGTGACCGGTGACAGCCACCCGCTGCAGAACCGCGTCAAGACGGGACAGATCCTGAACTGCGCCATGCCGTGCCACAACCCCTACTTCACCCAGGAAGAGAGGACGTTCACCGCCTTCTGGATCGGACTGTGGTCCGTGCTGTGTTTCATCTCCACTTTCGCAACCGTGGCGACCTTTCTAATCGACATGGAGAGGTTTAAATACCCAGAGCGACCCATCATCTTCCTCTCCGCCTGCTACATGTTTGTGTCCATCGGATACATTGTGAGGCTGATCGCTGGACATGAGGAAGTGGCGTGCAACAGGGAGAGTGGCGCTGAACACATCCACTATGAGACCACCGGTCCGGCACTCTGCACCATCGTCTTCCTGCTGATCTACTTCTTCGGCATGGCCAGCTCGATCTGGTGGGTGATTCTGTCCCTCACTTGGTTCCTGGCTGCTGGTATGAAGTGGGGGAACGAGGCCATCGCCAGTTACGCACAGTACTTCCATTTGGCCGCCTGGCTCATCCCCAGCCTCAAATCCATCGCAGTACTTGCTTTAAGCTCAGTGGACGGAGACTCTGTGGCTGGGATTTGCTACGTGGGCAACCAGAATTTGGATAACCTGCGAGGTTTCGTGTTGGCACCCCTGGTGATCTACTTGTTCATCGGCACCATGTTTCTGCTGGCCGGGTTCGTCTCGCTGTTCCGGATCAGGAGTGTAATCAAACAGGGGGGCACCAAGACTGACAAACTGGAGAGGCTCATGATCCGGATAGGAGTTTTCACAGTTTTATACACAGTCCCTGCCACTGTAATAGTGGCGTGTTACTTTTACGAGCAGCACAACAGACAGACTTGGGAAATTACGCACAACTGTACGTGCATGACAGACCCCAGCAGGCAGAGGCCGGACTATGCTGTGTTCATGTTGAAATACTTTATGTGCCTCCTGGTGGGCATCACATCTGGGGCCTGGATCTGGTCCGGGAAAACCTTGGACTCCTGGAGGACTTTTTGCACGCGGTGCTGCTGGGGGAGTAAAGCCTCCGCGGGCTCCATGTACAGTGACGTGAGCACGGGACTAACCTGGAGATCGGGGACAGCCAGCTCAGTGTCCTGCCCCAAACAGATGCCACTGTCCCGGGTTTGAACAAAGAGGGAAGGGGGGGGTTTATCGGCTCAAATGCATCTTATGTCATTTGACACTAAAGACTTAAAACCAGCGCTCTTTGTATGGGGACTTATTATAAATGTTTTGGTAAATTATTCAAAGTGTCCCCAAACTGCCACGAGCACTCCTCTAATGTGAACTTTTTTTAAATGTGTGGTCAATTAAGCTCTATGAAAGTTCAGCTTGGACTTTTACTTAAGGAAAGGGCTCCTTCCTTCCTTGCCTTATCCAAATGACGTCCATGTGTTTGAATAGAGGGTATTGGGTATAGAGGAGGGAGGGGGGTGACTAATTGTATGGGGATTGTCCATCAGCGTGTTGTAATTAGCACATTAATGAGCGCCTAATGGCTTCTCTTTAAATAATGAGACTGTCAGCAGCAGAACAATGTACCTGGCACGAAGAATGCAGAGTCTTATCTGGGCTTAATTGAATGCGCACAGCTGACAAGATCCCCCTTGTCGATAGGTGACATGGTGTAGCTGAGGCTCTACTTCTTCTTACTGTAAAGAACCGCTGTGTCTTAAACATAAGAGCCACAATGGGACTGCTCTGCTGGAAATTAGGCTTTTTGTCTGCAAGAGATGGATTCTACACGTACATTAATCAATGCCTTAATACTGTCTCATATACGGGTTGCATCAGCGCGTAAAAAAGTGTATTTATATAATTATTGGTGTACATATATTGTACATTTGTATATGAAATTTTACGAGATTGTAAATATGTATAATTTCCACTTTGATAGAAAATTCTATTTTGAGAATAAAACAACTTTTATTGAATTTTTGCTTCCTGATTTTTCTCACAAGATTTGCAAGCTGGGGGGGGAAAGTGGTTTGCTGTTATGCCTGGTGTGCACAGCTTCATAACAACACAATATATTTCTACGTAATGGTGATTTACGGCAGCTTTATCTCAATTTAACTAAATGTAACTTGCCTTTGGGACCACATGGGATGTGTTAGCTGTATTAAAGCTCCAGATCCACATGCTGTGAGACGCGGGGAACAACATCGGCATGGCAATGCCTCACTACAGGTGGTCTTCTCCATTTAATGCCCTCAAGTCTTGTTACTAAACCTTTCCTTCTGTCCTCTGTTAAACTCCTGATCCAAGCTTAGTGTGGGACGTTTTTGTCCCATTTTACACAATTTAAAAGAGAATTAACTTTTTGTTGGATTAGTGCTAATGTAGGAAGATCATTTATAATTGTTTCAAGTGATAATACGAATATTTACGAATTATTGAAACAACGAAGAAAAGTCCACTAAGCTGCAAAATAATTTAAAAGAATGTGGGCAAATGCATGGTAATTTCTCAGCAACATATCAACATATTAAAAGAAATATCTGATTAGTCATACATGCTTAATGTGAACCTGTAGTGGACAGGTAAGGTGGCTCCTAATATATTATGGATACCTTACATAGCGATAGTGCTGATAATAGAGGCGTCTGTGGTGAGGAGGGACAGACAGTATCTGCAGGCTGACGCCCTGTCTGTCGTGCGCAAAGGTAATTAGGGCCCTGCAGTGTGTGGTCCAATTATTGTGTGACAGTGTTTTCCTCTTTAACTGTCAGTATCAACACTAAATTGGTGGTTTAGGAGATGTTAATGATGTGTGCATAATGGCTCGTAAGTGAGGTCTATTTTTGCCTACGTGGGAAAACATTGCCGGTTTCAAATGTGTTAAGACTGAATAATATTTCTTCAACTTCAATGACATGAACGATGTAACAAAACTAAATGTGCCCCAAACTTTGGTGAAGATTCTCCACTGCACTAAGATCGAGAGAGATAGATCAAGTTGGATCACACTGCCACCTGGTGGTCCATCGATTAAATTAACATGAACAATTAAAGGCAAGGCAAGTTTATTTACACAGCACCTTTCAGCACACGGAAATTCAAAGTGCTTTACTAATTAAAATAAAATACATTTAAAGAATAAATACAGCAGAAACACATTATAAAATGGCATTTAAAAACAGGCATTAAAAAGCAAAGGTAATAAAATAATCACAACACATATAGAACACATGAATAAAAGCCATACTGCAGTGTGGATATAAACAGCTCACTCAAATGCAGCGACAAAAAGATGTGTTTTTATTCTGGATTTAAAAGTATTAAGAGTTGATGCAGGATTCAGGGAGTTTGTTCCAGATAGTCGGGCATAATAGCTAAACGCTGCTTCTCCATGTTTAGTTCTTACTCTTGGAACAGAGAGCACAAAAAACCTGAATGCAAATAGCATTGAAAAACGTATTCTAAAAATATAAAGTTTAAACCAACAAGACTTAGAGAATAAGACTAGATTCCAGTATGGCGACTGTGGCTGCGAGGGAGTGCGGTCTTCTTTCCACCAGAAGGTTGTGGGTTCGATCCCAGCCCGTGCAGTCAACATGTCGATGTATCCTTGGGCAAGATACTTAACCCTGAGTTGCCAACCGTGTGTGAATGTGTATGAATGTTAGTTCATAGAGTAAGACACCGCTCTGTGTGAATGGGTGAATGACATAGTATTTATAGCGCTCTGAGGGGTCGTAAAGACTGGATGAAGCGCTATATATAATTACAGTTATTTTACCATTTATGCACTTTTGTGTTCCTTCCACTTCACATTATTTATTTTTTTAATAGACCTCCATAAAACGTATATTTTAAAAACAAGACTCTTAGTTGAATATTCATTCATAATATTTAAAATAAAGATGGCTGCACAATTAAGTGTTTGGGATTATTGTATATGTTAAAAAGAACCCAGAGGAAACAACGTTGTATAAAACATGCATTTGTAAATATGGAGTCATCTGTCGGTAAACTCAGAGTTTAGCAGATTAAAGTTTCGATACCAATAGTCAAAATCTGAATTTCACCCTAAATAACTTTTTTTTAACTGTCCTCTTATTTGCTGTGCATACCCAAGGCGGTAAACGAATCAATGACTTCCAGAGGTCTAATTGTCTAAATTTGTCCCCCCAATAATTGCATTACATAAAATGTAGAGAATGGAGGTCTTGTTTGCTCGGACCAATGAGAACAAATTGCTCTGCCACTGCTTATTAACCATGAGACAAGTTAGCTTCCTCTTCCTGTGTGTGTGTGTGTGTGTGTGTGTGTGTGTGTGTGTGTGTGTGTGTGTGTGTGTGTGTTCCCTCCAGCCCAAAAGCACAGAAATCAACAGAGGAAATGGGTTGAGAGGTCATGCCTGATCCATCTCCTTCTAACATAAACATGGCACTGTGTTCAGGAGGACCTCATCATGGAGAGATCCTATTGGCCGAATCCAGTGAACCCAACTCTTCTGTATTGGTCGGGATGTTTATGAATGCCATCTTTGTCTAATGATGTAATTATCTGTCTGTCTGATTGATTTGGAATAAATCGGGTTAAGATGTCTGATTGGCGTACGTGGGCTGTTAAAGGTCACATACTGTAGGAAGGCATACTCTCACATTGTTTACAAAGCTGGGCGGGAAACATTTAGCTTTCAATAACAGCTATTGTCATGTCATGGCTGATTTACAATGCAGTCTAAAACAAATATTTTTATTCAGGACCTTACTGACGTGTTTTGTTATTGACAGTTGACCTGCTTTCTGCCCCAAAGCATGCTGGGATCTACCACTAGAAAAAGAAGTCCAGAAATAAAAAAAACACAGAAAGAGAAGAAAACATGTGCAGCATTCTTCAAGTTAATGCTATTATTATTGTGTTTGGGCATTTATTGGCAGTATACACACACAAAAACAGGACATTTTGACACCCTTTTGTTAGCTTGTTAAGTTGCTAGCTTGTTAGCAAAACGGTAGCTCTTGTCGTTTCTGAATCTTTCCACAGACCAAAACATGTTTTAAAAAAGATGCTGCGTGAAGTTAGAGGTAGTTTTATCACTACAAGCCAACACTTTCACATGGAAGGAATCTTGTTCATATTGAAAGACTATTTATCAGGGTTGCCAACTTTGGGTACCTGGCTGGAGTGAAATTTTGATATCATGGGTTTGATTAGACATATGCGCACTAAATTACTGCTATTGTGTCAGTAGCGGGACCTTAGCATATATATATAGGATATATATACAATATATACAAATACACAATATTGGACACAGACTATAAAGGGCACAAAGTTTCATTCACTAATGAAAGTCAAACACATGTTTGTTTCCACTGTTTTATTGTGTGCATAGGCCTGTCGCGATAAGCAATTAATTGACTTATCGTACGATAAATGAAATGAACTCGATAACTTTTCTGACCTCGATAAATTGCCATTTATATGAGGATGTGACTAGCAGTTTGAAAGGATGTACTTGAATTATTATTATATATTATCATTATGTCAGTGGTCTAAAATGGTCATACAACGGTGCCGACAATATTATCGTTTATCGCAATAATTTCCGCGAAAATGTATCCAACAAAATTAATTATCGTGAGAGGCCTATGTATGAAACACACAGACACAAGCAAATCTACAGACTTACTCCAAACTGCCAAATATATTAATTAACACACTCTCACTCTCACATACTCTTTGACTCTATTTTGGCCTACTAGAACAATAAGCAGCAGACTTTTACTTTTTTAATTTTCTACTGGATCTTAGATCTGCGCATGCGCAATACGTGTCGGGGATTGACCAACCGGCTCCCACTGCTCTGCTGTCTGTTAACGTTGTTAAGAGTGGTGGGGGCGGGGAGGGAGCGGACCGACAGCTTGAGCAGCTGTCAACTCAATATTGTAAATAACCAACCAAAAACGATCGCCGGTTCTTCTTGTTTTTGGCGTGAGAATAGTTTGGGCAGCGTGAGATTGAGAGTGAAAGCGTGTGTCAGACGCCAGATGCGTGAGAGTTGGCAACCCTGATTTATAGCCACTTTCATTGTACCGCCTGAACGTTAATTTACCATGTATACAGTTAGCATTCTGATTTGTAGGCTATTAGGCTCATTCAAATGTAAGGTATATTATTAGAAACGTAAGCAAATACTGGACATGTGTTAATGTTTACTTGCTGTTGTGGCAAAACGAAAAGAGAGGAGATTAAGTCTTAAAGATGCACATGTATGTATTGTTTTAACAGTACGTTGTGTTGGATAAGGTGAGTGTTGTTTTATTTGCCGGTGTCAAAGACAACCTTCCATTTTATGTAGTTTTGTAATCTGAGTCATTAGGATGTACGGGTTTGTCCATATTTTTTAAAGTTTTGAAGACTCCTCTCACATGCTTGTTGTGTGAAGAGTCATGCAGGGTTGTGGGTGTAGAGGTGAGAGGTCAAAGGTCATGTTTGTCATTTCTGGCATTCTGTAGAGGAGCACAAAAAAAGCACAGAAAAAAAATCGTCTCAATTTTAAATACTACTACACAACATACATATGGGTTATCCATCCATCCATCTTCTCCCGCTTATCCGTGGTCGGGTCGCGGAGGTAGCAGTTCCAGCAGAGAGCCCCAAACTTTCTTTTCCCTGGCCACATCAACCAGCTCTGACTGGGGGATCCCAAGGCGCTCCCAGGCCAGCGAAGAGATATAATCCCTCCATCTGGTTCTAGGTCTACCCCTTGGTCTCTTCCCAGCTGGACGTGCCTGGAACACCTCCCTAGGGAGGCGCCCAGGTGGCATCCTAACTAGGTGCCCGAACCACCTCAACTGGCTCCTTTCGACGCGAAGGAGGAGCGGCTCAACTCCGAGTCCCTCCCTGATGACCGAACTTCTCACCTTATCCCTAAGGGAGACACCAGCCACCCTGCGGAGA